TCAGAAACATGAAGTAAAAGTCTTCTCAGATACCCCAGTCCACTTTACTTCATATGCTGTGGGTGTGTTGTTGTTATAGAAATGTTCAGCCTCCCCAACCATACTGACAGCCCTTCCAGGATGGGATCTATGTCTTCCTCACCTACAGCTCAGGGTCTACAACCTGAACATAGTAAGTGCTCAATAAAATCTAACAGTGACATTGATGAAGAGGTGATGGATGATACATTAGTAAGGTAATAGAATGATGGGACCTATTCTATAATATAAAACTTTAAAAACTTGCACACAACCAAACTGCTATGTCTCCGTCATCTTTACACCCTATAGGACTCAGAAGAGCGCTTTTATGGATGCTCCGTAAACATTTGTTGGGTGAAGGAATCTTTATTGAGTGAGCAGAGGCATGGTGACATGATGACTAAATATTGTTTCATGTTCACACTGTTTTATGTAAATATTACATAAATATGCTTGATGTTTATTTGAGCTCTACTAAGGGAATTAACATAAAGGCTAGAGTGTGTGGAATTTTTAACAAAGAAAATCTAGAAGACAAAACTGGGATAATAGGAAACTTTCAAGTGATGTTTTCTAAAACAGAATCTGAAAACTTTTGAGAGAGCATCCCAACATCAAGCTACTTTGAGGGGGCAGCATGACAGAGAAGGCCCTCCAAATGGTAGGCTTTCCCACCTTTTAAAAATATGGACTCAGAAATTCACCATGAGCTGATCCTGGGAAAGCAAAATGCCTCTAGAGAGAGGAAACCCCACCTGCAGGTTCTGAAGCAGGGGCAGATATGGGATTGGCCTTTCAGAGGAACAGGGAAGAAGCCAGTTATGGGTGGGGCCGAGTGAGCAGGCGGGCAAGTGGTAGGAGGTGAAGTCAGACAGCTCTGGAGACCCCTGCACAAAGGCGAGGTTTATCCCAAGAGCAGTGGGAAGCCACAGGAAGGACTATCCAGTGAGGGAAAGATGCGATCTGATTCGGTTTTTTAAAATATCCACTCGAGCTGCAGTAGCAAAGTGACTGAGGGGACAAGAGTGGACGCAGGGAGACCACTCAGGGGTAGTGAGTAATGGAGTAATCCAGGTAAGACACGAGCCTAATTGGGAGGAGGCTGTTAACAGTGGAAGTGAACAAATTGAGGAAATGTTCTGGGGAAAAAAAGGCACAGAACTTGTATCGGATGCACGGATTTGAGGATGAAGAAAGAGGAATCAGGGAGAAATAGCAGATTTTTTTTTTAAGCTTAAGTAACGGGATGCTATTTTCTGCAAGCATCCAATGGGAAGACTGAGGAAGAAACAAGAATGGAAGAAAAATCAAGACGTTTATCTCAAAATACATTATATTTGAGAGGCCTGTGATGTACCCAATTGGAGATGTCCCGGAGGCAATTAGTATATAAGTGTAGAACTCAGGAACAAGAGTAGAGCTGGAATATAGAAATTTGGAAGGCAACAGTATAGAGATGCTATGTAAAGCCATGAGTATAGATATGACCACCTTAAGGGGAAAAAGTGTAAATAAAAAAGAAAAAGGGTCAGGATTCAGCTCTTTAGAGTTCAGGAGAACAGGGAGGACTTAGCAAGTGAGGCCAAGAAGCAGCAGCCAATCAGGTAGGCGATAAACTGGGAGAATGTGGTGTCATAGAAGCCAAGAGAAAGGAGGTACATGTTTCAAGAAGGTCTATTGTATTAAATGTTGCCAAGAGGTTAGAAAAGACAATAATACTGACACTAATATAATAATGACTAACATCTACTGAGCACTTACCACATATCACAATCTGTTCTAAATGGTTTACGGATAGTAACTCATTTAATCTTTACAACCCTAAGATAGAGAAGGAACCACTGGATTTGGTGACATGTAGGCTGAATGAAGAAATCTTTTACTCAACAATAATTGCTAAGTCCTGACTTGTTCCAGGCACTGCTTGCAGCATTCAGGATGAAAACAGTGGAGAAGACAAAGGTCCTGCCCTCTGAGAGCTTAATGTAAACAGTAAACAAATAGATATGTAACACAGCCAATTAGGTAAATGCTTTAAAGAACATGAGCAGGCCAAAGAGTGCTCTTTTTGACAGAGCGTTCTGGTACACCTTTATAAGGAAGTGGCAAATACTTGAGGGAAGAGTGTCCTGGCAGATGGAAAAGCAAATGAAATGATTGTGAGGTAGGCTAATAATGGAAGCCCACATGGTTGGAGAGCAGTGATGGGAGGGAGAGAGGTAGGACATGATGTTGGGGAGGCAGCTGGGGGCCAGGTCATGTAGGGGCCTTGTATGCCTGACAAGGGCTTTAGATCACAAACGATGTGAGATGAGACTTCCCTCTGGAGAGCTGAGAGCAGGAGAGTTGAGAGCAGGATAGTTGCACATACTTTATGTCCTAAGGGACCCCTGTGTCTATATGAATGATGAACTGGGGGTCAGGGCGGGGAATGCGGCAAGAGAGGAAGCTATGACAAGTGTACCAAGCAAAAGATGATAGCGGCTAACAAAGATGATGAAGGTTTAGATGTTAAGAAATAGCCATAGTCATAATATATTTCAAAATTAGGGTTTGCTAATGGCTTGGAGACAGGGTGTAAGAGAAAAACAAGTGTCAAGAATGACTTCAAGTCTTTTGGCATGAACATCTGGATAAATGAATGGTGGTGACATTTGCTGAAATGGGGACTAATGGGGGTAGAACACGTTTGGGTGCGGAAGTAAGAGTTCACCTAAAGACACATTAAATTTGACATGCCTACAAGATATTCAGGTAAGGATGTTAAATAGACAGTTGGTTATAAAACTCTGGAGTTTAAGGGAGACGTTGAGGCTACAGACAATTTGGGAAGTTACCAGCATACAATAAAAGCCATGGAACTGATGGCATCACCCAGGGAACAAAGAAAGTTCTAAAGAATCTGAGAGAACAGAGCCATCACTCACTTCAACCTAGAGGCTGAGAAGAGAAGTAGGATCTAGAAAAGGAAAATGGGTCAGGAACAATTGATGAGGTAGGATGACAATGATGTCCCAATAGTTAAGTGAAGAAAGACTTCCAAGAAAGTGTGTCAAATGAGTAAGGTGAAGATGAAGAAGTAACCACTGAATTTGGCAAGACAGAGGTCATTGTGACCTCAACAAGAGGAACTTCAGCTAAGTAGAGGAGATGAAAGCTTCGGTGGGTTCTCAAGAGAATGGGAAGAAAGGATATGAAGATGATTTGTAGACAACTATTTTGAGTAATTTTTCTCTAAAAAGGAGCAGAGAAGTAGGTAGGAGTGGTATCTAGAGGGGTACATGCGGTTAAGGGACATTTTGTTTGTTTGTGTGTGTGTGTGTGTGTTTGTTTGTTTAAGGTAGACGTTTGTTTGTTTGTTTGTTTGTTTAAGGTAGACGTTATTGCTGCATGTTCATGTGCTGATAGAGATGACCCAGTAGAGTGTGGGATAAAATGATGTAGGAGAGAGGGCTAATTTTAAGGGCAAAGAGCTTAAAGTTAGATGGGATGGGATCTAACATACAGGTTGAAAGAATGGCGTTTAATAAGAACAAGGACAGTTTGTTCATTATTAACAGGAGAAAAGGTAGATTACACACACACACACACACACACACACACATACACACACACACAGATGCAAGTAGTTTGGTAGCTTCCATGTTGGAAAATGAGTTGACTAAGGAAATGTAGTATGATTGCCAAGCAGTACTGAGAGCCCACTTGAAGTTCAAGGTTGTGAATTGAAGGATCAGTCAACATAGTTGTTTGTTTTTCTCTTGTTAATCATCTGTTTTTCAAGTGCAGACAAGAAGTGGGTTTACTAGGCAAGCATGATAGAGGGAGAGGCAAGGATATTAAGGATATTTTTAAGGGAGTAATTCCATTGGTGGACCATGAACTATAAAGCAAGTGAGGAGATACAGATGGACATAAGGTAGTGATACCTAGTGAAAGGTTAATAGCATCAGTGAGTTAGCAGTCCCTTTGAGGCTGAAGAATTGATAGAGGGGGTACAAGGAGAAGTGAGTGAGCTGGAAAAATAAATCATGGTTAGAGAGTAGAGTTCTAGCTTGAAATAGAGATTTTAGAAATGGTACAGCAATTGGCATTATCAAAGGCTGGCATAGTGGCGCCTAAGATGGGGTGGACAAGATCATTCAAAGTGAGAAGGTCAAAGAACTGAGAAGCCAAGTGGATCATATCCGTATGGATACTGAAATTTCCATGCATAATGACAGGGTTGATGGTGGAAAGAAAGGCCTTAAACTAGAGCAATTTCACTGGAGTGGAGGAGAAATAAGTCTAACTAGGACAGAGGAGAGAGTGATAGATGAGAAAATGGAGTAAGTAAGTATAGATAACTCCTTAATAAGTTCTGTGGTGAAGGAGAACAGAAAGATAGTGGTGATGGCGGGAGAAGGAGTGGTCTGAAGAAGTGGTCAAGGGTTATTTCAAGATGGAAGACTCTAGAGTGTATGTGTATGCTCCTGGGACTGATTCATTAGAAAGGAAGAACTTGATGTGGTAGGAGAGAGAAGAGAGAACTGCAGGAACAAAGTTCTTTGGGAGATGCAGTGGAATCCAAAGCACAAGTGGAGGATTTTGCTTTTCATAGAAAGAGGCATGATTCTTCCCTGAAATATGAGAAAAGACAGGATCCATGGGTGCAGACTCAGATAAGGCAATAAACTAGTGATAAGAAACAGGAAGTTCGTGACTAATTGCTTCTATTTTCTCAATAAAGTGTGAGGCAAAATCTTCAGCTATTTGGGGGTGAAAGGTATGAAGGTTGCAGGAGGGCAAAGAAAGCATTTAGTCATGTTCTTAGACATTGGGGAACTAACTAGGTGAATAAAGTGGGCTTGCAGGTAAATGACACAAGCGTTATCTTCCTTTAAAACAAAGTGAACTCTTGCATACAAACCTTCACATTAGGACCTCAGTTTTAGATGGGGTGGGGTTCCTCAGTGCCTCGGAGGGGCCCCAACACCTACCGCTCAGGAAACACAGAGGAATCTGTGGCAGGAATCTGGTCTTCAGAGATGGGGAGATCATCACCGCGGCGTTGGGAAACAGCTGGGCTTTGTGGGGCTTGTGGGGAGCATGGGGCCTCTGGGGCTCACGTGACGCGCGGAGCTTGCGGGGCTCGCGGCGGACATGAGGCTCGTAGGGTTCGTAGGGCTCCGGGGGCGTATGAGCGTGGGGCTCAGAGGGTTCGTGGGGCTCGCGGATCTCGTTGCAGTCGTCTCGCTGGTCTTGCTCTTCCACTTCGTCAGGCTCCTCCGGCTTGTGCACGTTGAAGATCCTGACTACTAAGGGCTTGTGGGGGGCTTTGGAGTTAGCGGATCTTTCTGTCTTGTGAGAGTCGGACAGCAGGGATGAACCCAAAAACTCTTGGGTCTCCATGGGTGCCCGGGAAACTCCGGCTGCGCGGGGGCGCTGATCCTCGCTGCGGGCCGCCAGGGAGCTGGTGGCCTTCTGCGCGGTGGGAGGTGGAGGGAGGTTCCCCAGCACCCTGCTCTAGCCCCGCCCCGCGGGACACAGCCTGGGCGGGACAAGCCCCGCCCCAGCCCCCTCCCTGCATTTTCTCGGTTGCCAAGGCAACGCGACGCTCTCGAGAGGCTCACAGGAGCTCCCACTCCGCAGAGACAACGGAGCCAGAGAGGTGTGTCCGCGGAGACAGGGGCGCGCTCCTGACCAGCTAGCTCTTCTCTGAGTCAAGGGCGAGTACTTTCGCATGCTCAAGGTTGCCGAGGCCCTGGGCTAGACTGCACCAACGTCCAGTCTAATCACAGAGCCTTTCAGACATCCGAGCTGGGTCTGTTAGGTTCCCTGGCACAGGCTCTCGATAGGCTTTTGTTCCCTAAACATGCTCTGAGGGGATGCCGAGATTGACTATTCTAAGGTTCTCCATCACTGATACAGCAATAGGAATGGGATTGTGGGAGTAAGGCGACATTTGGTCCAGAATGATATTTGGTCCAATCTTAACATTCAGAAGTCTCAATTTTAGATATTTTTTACTTTATCTCCACATGCAGTTCTACACATAGTCATGAAAAAACACTAACAGGATTAAAAGAAAAATATAGTCATCTACAACTTGTGTCTCATTACAGGGCATGATGTTTGCTGAAGTGCATTATAAGTTATTTTTATAAATTCTGTATCTTGCAAAAAGCACAACTTTTAGTGCTTTTTGTGTAGTGCTTTTTTAGTGTATTTGTGTGTGTGTATTTATAGCATTAATTTGTTAAATGTGATATCTTTTAAATACAACATATCAGGATTTTTATAACCCAGTTTTTGGCAAACCTTCCCCCTTGTTTTTTGTTTTTTTGGGGTTTTTTTTAATCATTATTATACCAAGAGGTTAAAAAAAATAAGTGACTGGAACCTCTCTCAATCCCTGAGGAGAGCTTTCAGCTAATTTTCATGGCCATGATGGTATGGTAGAGGAGAATAGAAGTGATAGAGTTTCAATGATGTGTTTATTTTCAAAAGAAGGGACTAGAGATGTTAAAGAATAAGTCATCTGTCCAAGTATACATAAACCCAAGAATACCTTTTGCACATTACTGGGTGCTCCTTTGATATACTATGTCTCATAGATGCAAAAAAAAAAAGAAACATTTTGGATTGTGAGAATGTCACCTGGAATGGAAATAGGAGAAAATGGTATATGTGAATCAGAAATATGCTCCCTCAGACACACTTTGATATAGGCATGTGTAGCACTGTGTTCAAAATTTAAGAAGTATAGTAAAAAACTTGGGCAAAGGGGAAATAAAGCTATCCTCAAAGAGTTTTCACTAAACATGTAAACAATCAGGGAAGAGTTATGTAAATTCACCTTGGAGAGCAGGATGGCCCCTAACTCAGTAAAACTAGTCCACCACTAAATGAAATGCCTTCACATATCCAAAGAACATGTCTGTCGGAAGAGGTGCATCAGCCCAAAATGGATATACAGAAGAATATCCATTCTGTGTACATACCTTTATATCCTAGCGGCTGTGCCCATTCAAAGCTGCTGAAGGTGAGGCTGGGCGAGTGGCTCAGTTGTTGAAGAGCTTGCTCAAGAGTTTGAGCTCAGCAACAGCGGTTCGATGCCCAGCCCAAGCTGAGCTGCCAACAGGTGGCAGGATGACTCAGCTAAAAACAAACAAACAAACAAACAAACAAAAAACTGCAGAGGGCAGAGTTTCCAAGGCCAACAGATTGCAAATGTTATAGCTGGTTCTTCAGGCCTTTTTGAGATGGGTGTGTGGCCTGATGCCACCATACACCAACAGACATGCTCACCAAGCAACTCTCTGACGTGACCCAGCCTCCCAGGGAGTCTGCTTACTGGGAGAGATTAGGATGACACAGAAAGAATTCTGGTCCACACCACAGTTATGTATTAGCATTCTGATCTTACACACCAACCTCATGTATCTGACTTACGTCATTCCTAGGAGAAATTTAGGAATCAATCTTGATTCTCTCTTTTCCTCACCCCACTCCCTGCCTCCAATGCATCAACACCTCAAGGTCATTCTTCAAATATGTCTTTAATCCATTCGTTTCTTTTCATCTCCTGTCACCAGGCCAGTCCAGGTGACCATTATCTCTCTGGATTCTGCAATGCCTTCCCAACTGGTGTTCTGATTTGGCCGACCTCCAATCATGACTCCACAAACTGTTTAGAATAAATGCCAAGCTTTGCGTCATAAGGTGCCGTGGACGTGATCTAGTCCTTGCCTCTCTCTCCAGTCGGCTGTGTGCCACTCTGCCCCTCCTGTCTACATTCCAGCCTCCCTGTTCCTCTCTAACATGGCAGGCAATTTCCCACTTCAGCTTCTTCCTACACCTGGAACCCACTTCTCCCCCTCTTCACATATTGGCTCTTTTCTATCCTATGGGGTTCAGCTGAAATAGTCACTCAAAGACGACTTTCCATCCCACAGTAATTTTTTAAAAATCTTCCTGCCATTATGTTCTATCCCAAATCCTTGCTTCTACACAATTTATAACTATTTTATCTGCTTGTCGCTTTTTGTGTGTGCCTCCCCAGCTAGAATGTGAGCACCTTAACAACATCCTCTGTCCTGGCGGCTGGTGTTTGCCCAGTGGCAAGCACAATGAATGGTTGTGGAGAGCTGTCATTATTTCTGCTGTTTTCCTACGTAGCATCCCTTCCTTCTTCCAAAAGTCAAACCCCTCCTTTCCGTGGGGAACTCCTTCCATATGGTTTGAGGAGGCTAATCCTGCCCTGTCCCCAGTCTGATCAAAATGGTCACAGTAATTGGTTCAGAGATGAATATGTGACTCTGGCAGAGCCAATCAGTGTGCCCACCCAATGAGATTTATTGCATGGTTGCTTTCAAAGGAGATTCTGGGATTATGAGCAACATATGAATATTGTACGCTTAATGTTGACAGCAATCCCTTGCAGAGGGAATCTGAGAATTAAGTCAAGTAGAGGTTAGCAGGGCCAAGAGATGAAGAGAAAGCTTTGTTATCTTTGAGCCCATAAATCCACCTATGCACAGATTTCCCAGTATGATGAGCCCCCCAAAGCTCCCCTTTGGGAAAATACAAATCTAACTTGAATTTTCATCATTTTTAACTGAAAGCGTTGACACATTTCCTGGCACATTAGTTGATACTCAATAAATGTTGACTAAATGAACAAAAGAAAAGACAGATCCACTCTTAGTTTCTGAGCCTGGAAGCCTGGCAACAGACTCCAGCTTGTGGTAAGATCTCCAAGGTAATGAATGCCACCCAGTGAGGTCTGTTGGGAACACCACCTGCCAGATAGCCTCTTTGACAACTCTCCAACCTGTCTTGCCTGAATGCCATTTTCATTCGAACCCCCTGGGACATGTATCTCTCTTGACAGCCTGAGAGCATCTCAAGTCCCTGCTTTAATCATCCCCAGCATCAAGCACTGACCACCCTGTTGGCATTCAATAGCTCTTCATTGAATGAAAAATGATGCCAGCCACAACATTTATTGCCAGAATGCAGAATCTAAATTCAAAATGTGAGAAAACGAGAAAGAACAGAGATATCATTTCCTATTTGAAAGCTTTTGGCATTGTCCTTGAAATAGGCATCCAAGAACTTATGTATTCCCCCGACCACCCTGGAAAACATAATAAAAAGATACCTCATTGAATCAGAGTTCAGGGCTGGACACTGTCTGCATTTCATTTAGTTCTTTTCCAAAGTGAAGACTGAGTAAGACACAAGATGGCTAAGGAATTTGTCCAGGGGCTAATACGTGGCAATCCTTGGGGCAGAGGCTAAAATCCAGGGTGTCTGACAATCCTGAATTATTGTGCGATCCAACCTCCACAGGCCAGACAAAACCTGGCATTAGACACCCAAGTGGCTGCTGTGATATGATACTGTTGTGATATCCTGCGGCTCTATGAGAAAGCTAGTGAATTTAAAGGCATTTAACTCTAACACCTCATTCCTCAGAGGGCATTTGTCATTTTGCACATGCATGCTTAAGTTTAATTATGTTCCATTTCAACCCAAAGTCTGATAGAGAAGGCTACGTGCTAACATTGGGAAGGGCTGTCGTCACCAAATTTGGTTGTTCATTTTGTACCAGATTCCAAATTTTTAAAAGGAATTTGCAGAACAAATCCTCTTTCCTCTTTCCAAATCTTTTATTTTTCAACTAATGACTTTCTTATTATTTTTAATAGACTCTTTAGAAAAGTTTTAGGTTCACAGCAAAATGAAGCAGAACATACAGAGAATGATACAGAACACACACATGCACGGCCTCCCCAGTTAACTTCCTCACACTCACACCAGAGTTGTGCATCTGTTAGAATTGATGAACCTATAATGACACATCACTATCACCCCAAACCCATAGTTTACATTATCATTCACTCTTGGTGTTGTACATTCTATGAGTTTGGACAAATGTAATGTATAGTGACATGTATCTACCATTATAGTACCTACAGAGTATTTTCACTGCCCTAATAATCCTCTGTACTCTACCTATTCATCCCTCCCATATTCCTAATCCCTGGCAACCACTGATCTTTTTACTGTCTCCATAGTGTTGCCTTTTCTAGAATATCATATAGTTGGAGTCATATAATATTTAGCTTTTTCGGATTGCCTTCTTTCACTTAGTAATATACATTCAAGTTTCCTTCATGCCTTTTCATGACTTGAAAGCTCATTTCTTATTTAGCACTGAATAACATTCCATTGTCTGGATGTACTACAGTTTATCCATTTGTCTAGTGAAGTACTTCTTGGTTGATTCCAGGTTTTGGTAATTATGAATAAAGCTGCTGTAAACATCTGTGTGAATGTTTGCGTATGAACATAAGTTCTCAGCTCCTTTGGGTAGATGCCAAGGAGCGTGATTGCTCAATCGTATGATAAGAGTATGTTTAATTACGTAAGAAACTGTCAAGCTGTCTTCCAAAGTGGCTGTACCATTTTGCATTCCCACTGGCCATGAATGGGAGTTCCTATCGCTCCACATCCTCATCAGCATGTGGTGGTGTCAGTGTTCTGGATTTTGGCCATTCTAATGGCTGCGTGATGGCATATCATTGTTGCTTTAATTTGCATTTCCATGATGACATATAATGTGGAGCATCTTTTCATATGCTTATTTGCCATCTGTATGTCCTCTTTGGTGAGATGTCTATTAAGGTCTTTGGCTTATTTTTAAATCAGGTTGTTTGCATTCTTGAGTGTTAAGAGTACTTTCTGACCTATATTATTTCCTTTTCTCTAAAGAACTTCCGTTAAACTTTTTTGCAAGGCAGCTCTGGCAACAAATTCAATTTTTGTTTATCTGAGAAAGTCTTTCTCCTTCACTTTTGAAGGATAATTTCACAGGGAACAGAATTCTAGATTGGTGGGTTTTTTCTGTTAATACTTTAAATATTTCACTCCACTTTCTTCTTGCTTGTTTCTTGGTTTCTGAGGAGAAGTTTAATATAATTCTTACCTTTGTTCTCTGTTGGTAAGATGTTTTTATTTCCCCCCTCTGATTTCTTTCAGGATTTTTAAAATCTGTTATTTTGATATTCATATGTGTAGGGGTTTTTTTTTTTGGCATTTATCCTGCTTGGCGTTCTGAGCTTCTGTGGTTTGATGTATGACTCAGTCATTATTGTCTCAAATATCTCTTCTGTTCCTTTCTTTTTTCTCCTCCTAGTATACCCATTACATGCATTTTAATCCTTTTGTCATTGTCCCCAATTCTTTGGATATTCGGTTCTGGTTTTTTTGGTCTTTGTTCTCTTCACTTTTTAGTTTTGGAGGTGTCTATTGAGATATCCTTCAGCTCAGAGATCCTTTTCTCAGTCATGTCCTTATCTACTGATAAGCCCATCAAAGGGATTCTTCGTCCCTATACAGTGCTTGCTCTGTTTCTTCCATGTGTTTTGCCTTTTATTATGTCTTGTAATTTTTCTTGATAGTCAGGCATAATGTACTAGTTAAAAGGAACTGCTGTAAACAGGTCTTTAATAATGTGGTGGTAAGGTGTGGGGGGAGGGGACACGTTATATAGCCCTGTGATTGGGTCTCAGTCTTTTCGGGATCCTGTGCCTCTGGACTGCAAACTTCACATATGTGTGTAAGTCCCCTCCCCTCCCCCGCTTTAGATGGGGAAGGATGGCTAGTGTGTGCTGGAGTTGGGTATTTCCTTTCTCTTACGTTAGTTAGGCTCTAATGCCCCAGCACGTTAGGATCTGGATAACTATTTTCTCCAGAGGGCAGGTCTTATTAAGAAGGACAGAGTGCTGGCATATTTAAAAATGGTTCCTTTCGGCCAACCCTGGAAGCACCATGGGATATTTCTCTGATATTTACTATGGGAATCTGGTCAAACTCCCAGAGGTAAATCTCACAAAACTGTAGCTACAAGTGGGTCCTCCTGGAGTTTCTAACTCTCAGAGTTGTCCATATCGAGACTCCAGCAATTTGTCAATTACAGTTCCGGTTTCCCTACCCTCACACTGGTTCCCAAGGGTGGTTTCCCATCGTGAATCTCTGCTGTAGTAAATTATTCTTCTCCGTATTCTTTTGTTGGTCTTTCCAATCTTGGGGGCAGTGGTTTGCCCTGTGTCCTCGCCTCTCTTATGGAGTCTAGAAGAGTTGTTGATTTTTCAGTCTTTTCAGCTTTTTACTTGTTTTTAGGAAGGTGTTATCTTCCAAGCTTCTCACATGCCATATCTTTTTTTTTTCTTTAAATCAAGACAAGACACTAGGTTAAAAGCTGAACTTATATTATGTCTGTATGTAAATAGAATTATCACTCTTACAAAATATTTCTAGTGATGAAAGCTTATATATAAAAGAAAAATATCAAGAATTTAAAAACCTAATCCCCACTATGTTTTTCATCTAGTGTAACAGGCTCCTAAAAGAGAAGCCTTTCCTAAATCTTTCCGAATGCTGTTAATTTACATTTTTATGTGGGTTTCATAGTACTTACTTTTTTCTCATTGCCCTATTCCATATTTCTTTCTCTACAATGTTAAACAGGTATACTTTAAAGGAAAGACACCTGGATTTTTACTTGAAAAGAGAGAATTTATTAAAATATTGTATTATAAATTTCATGTCATTGAAAAACTACCAATGGGATAAATGCTTGCTAATGTTCACTTTAATTTTGTTGATTAAGACTCCAAATTCTTTCAGATACATTGTTTTATACATATTTTTAAAGTTCAAAGTCTAAATAAAGCGATGCTCTTAATTAACATTATGATTGTATATATGCTGCACATTGAGAAAATAGGAAATGGCTTATTTTTTATTTGAAAGTGGAAACCTTTGGCTTCAAGGCTGCCACTCAGCACTCCCTGGTAACATTTAGATCGTGAACCAAACAGTGGGCCTGGTCACTGCATATCTGCAGCCAGGTGTGCAATCAGGTCTTTGGCATCTTGCATGGTGGAGGGTATCTCTGAGCCGTTCTCAGTCACTTGGGTTCCAAACAAGAACATCTTCCTGTCATTTCCCACCTCAGATAATGCCAAAGCTTCATGGATATCTGTAATGTGATAGGCTGCTTCAAGGTCCTTCAATAAGGATGAAAAAAAGTTGGTTATTTTACAATCCTTTTGGAAAGATACATTTATTGCTCTCATTTATTGCTCTCAATGACCTCACCTTTATTTTATTTTGGAGGCTATTATGACCCCATTATAATAACCCTAGGGATTGCTTGAATATAAAGATTTTCATCAGAATTACACCAGTATTTATGAATTATCATCAAAAATGTATTTTTTGGAATGAAGTTAAACTGGTATAACACCTTAATCAATTTTCTAATCAGTGCAGTCAGTCTGATTCTAATTTCTTTTCCATTTCCTTCTTTATTTCCCCAGAATTATATTCAAATAGGATCAACTATTTTTAGTTTATCTTTAACAACAGAAATTTGATTCATTAATTGGTTTTTGTCCACATTATGTTTTATTAATTATACCATTTGCCATTGTGAGTTTTCTTTTGTGACCATTATTTCTACTGAACAACAACAACAACAAAATTGGATCAAATTTTTTGGGGGGCAGAGGAAGAGAAGGGAGCAGGATTTAGAAAATAAAGTGGTGGGAGAAGGAAGCCGAGAGGGGAGAGACAGGTGGAGAGAAAGAAGACAAGATGGAGAGATGTGGAAAGCTTAACAGAGGGAAACCCACAGAGAGAGTAGAGATTAAAATGAGGAGGCAGAAAGCCTGTGCTTATGCTGCATGGCAAGGTCATAACCTTCTTGAGGTCAAAACATACTCCTTTGCCTCTCACACATCAAGAATCATTTAGACAAATCACCTCTAATATTCGTTTTACTAAATACACACAGATTCAGCTATAGTTTTTAAGTCCTTTGCAAAAGTTTTAGCATTTTCACTCCTAAAACTGCATTTGTAATTGCTTTTTGTTGTTTCGTAGCGTTCTCCTTAAGCATTAGGGGATCATTTAAAAAAATCTGGAAATAATCCAATATCGTGTTAATTTTTTCATGTACCAAATATGAAGCTATCAGATTCCATCACTGGGAGCCTGTGAGGCTTCTCCTGATGTGCTGTCCATGGCATCTGCCTGGACTGATGACCTCTCTGGAGGTCGGTTGTCCCAACACATTGCCTGTCTGACTACTGAATTCATTTAGTCCTAGAGCCCACAGTGACTTTTGTAACAGTGTTAATGGATCCAGTAACATGTGGATGATGTCTCAAGTAAATAAATTCACTGATGGAATTGAAGAGGAAATAAAGAGGAGAAGAACAGTGTTGGATGGGAGGAGGGGCTCCTTGTAATGATAAAAGCACAACAGAGATCGTTTTGCCATGACGATGGGTGTACAAATATCTGTTTGAGTCCCTGCTTTCAATCCTTTTGGATATATGCCCAGAGGTGGAATTGCTGGATCATATGGGAATTCCATTTTTAATTTTTTAAGGAATTGCCATACTGTTTTCCATAGCGGCCAGACCATTTCACATTCCCACCAACACTACACAGGGTTCCATTTTCTCCATGGATGGTTCATATTTTAATGCATTTGTAGGAAATAAATTCCAGTCAGTCTGATTTATCTAAAACAATTTCTTTATGTATGGTAGATACAAATATTTTGTCAAAATCAACAATTAGTGAATGTTTATTGAATTAAATTTAACACACATTTGTTGAATTCCTACTATGCTGAAGGCAGTATCTAAGTATTACAAGGGACATAAAGATGAATACTCTCTATCCTCAATACTCTCTACTTTCAAGGAGTTTATAATCCAGTGGATCTAATAAGTATACATTGAATATACAGCATGTCATTTAATAACTAGCTATTCAAAGGAGATATTTCTATTTCTTGTATGAATAATAAAACTACCGAGTGCAAATTATATTTGCACAGATTTTTACCTGTTTGTTTGCAAACACAACCAGAGGGATGATAGGGTTTGTTTCAATGAGCTGGTGAAGGTGTTTCTTGGCTTCAGGTAATCTCCTGTGATCTGCTGAGTCTACTACAAAGACCAGCAGTAACCCCCTGGATAGGTACATTTCCCAGTAGGAACGGAAAGGTTCACTGCCACCAACTACAGAGGAGGGAAAGAAGACACCAAAAAATCACAGAAGTGTCCACCCAGGGCGGCAGAAAAGGCACAGTTAGATCATTTCTGAATGCTGGACAGGTACAGCACTACCTTAGAGTGTGCTGATAGAGAACAACCAGAGAGATGTTACTGGGGAAAGAGCTGGTGGGAATATTTATCCTCCACAGCGATTCATTCATTCTGGAACATGAAGGATCAGCATATAATACTAAACACTACAGACTCCTGATCTGTCATCATAGCAGCTGTGGTGGCCACTGCATGTCTATCAGTTATGACTGAAAAAATGGGAATAGCCTACTAAAATAATTTAGGAGACTAGATTAAAACACAGCTCTCTCTAAAATAGGTTTTAAATGGACTGACTTCATTGGCTAGCCTCACCTGCACAATTTTTTTTCCTTTGCCCAAATGCTCTTACTATTGCACTGAGAGTTATAATATGATCTTGTGGGCATTCAGGAATACTTGCCTCAGCAAAGTGCCTTTGGATTATTTCATTCTGTGGATTCCTTTCAGAAGAAATTTATTGGTTAATGAGAATATTATATACAAAATGAATTTAGTTTTTATTTTTCTCCTACGATGGGGTTGGCACACTGTGGCCCACAGTCTAAATCTGGCCCACTGACTAATTTTGTACAGACCACAAAGAATGGATTTTACACTTTTAAATGTTTGAGGTGGGGGGGAAAGAATAACATTTCATGATATGTGAACATTATATCCCATTTGGATTTCGGTGTCTACAAATCAAGTTTTATCAGAATAGACATGTGGATTTGTTTCTGTATTGTTTACGGCTGCTTTCATACTATAAAGGCAGAGCTGGTAGTTGTAACAGAGACCATGTGGCCCACAAAGCCTAAATGATATACTATCCAGCCCTTTACAGAAAAAGTTTGTGGACCGCTGTCTTAGGAACTTAAAAACATTTAACACACTAATAGGAAAGGGTCTTTATTTGCCTTCCCTTTGTTTTCCTTTGTAGTCATTCTTTGAAGTATTTTGTGTTTTTAATTTTTAAAAGAATGTTGTATAATCTTCTAAGTGGCTTCAACATATTTAGTTTAAACAAGAATGAACATCTGGATTGTTCCCCATTTTTTTTTTGTGACACTGTGATATTTTACCTATATAGGGATTTTTATCTTTCAGTTACTAACTTCTAACTTAATTGCAATGTCGTCAGAGAACATGCTTTGTATGATGCCTCCTCTTTGGAAAATTTGTTAAGACTTGCTGTATGGCCCAGTAAATGGTCAATTTTGGTAAATGTTCCATGAGTGTTTGAGAAGAATGTGCATTTTAGCTTTTGGATGTAGCTAAAATTGTCGAATTTTATATTGTCCGTTAGATCAAATTTGTTGATTATGTTCAAATTTTGTGTATCTTTGCAGATATTTTTCTTCTCGATCCTACTGAAAATTGACAAAGGTATGCTGAAATCCCTCACTCTAATGGTAGATCTGCCCATTACGCCCCCTAGTTTGAGCCTTCCTTCCTTCCTTCCCGTCCTTCCTTCCTTCCTTCTTTTTTATATACTGAGACAATTTTCTTAGCTATTTATTTGGTAAAAGTGATTATTTCTTCTATAGCTTCTGTGCAAGTTGAAAACTGTATTCATAATAATGTTTTTATCTTAAAGATTTGCCTACAGGCTTACCAATTTCTCTGCCCACCATGTTCTCTTTGTAATTGGACAAAAGCAAAATTAAAAAGGTGATTGCAGTAATCTAAAATAAGATGGGGGTTCCAACTGGAATAGGGGCAGTGGGAAAGGACGTAACTCTCAAAGGATGAATTTGAGATTTGTTTTAGAGAAATTCAGAATTTTACTTGTGGACTGGAGGTGGGGGTACAGAAGGAGGACTCAAGTGGCTCCTAGTTTTCTGAGTTGAGCAACCTGATGGGTACTGACCAGTAGGTTACAGGGAAAGGAACAGGTATGGAGATATGGAGATATATTAAGCATTTTGTTTTGGCCATGTTAGGTTTGAGAGGCCAATTAGACAGCCAAGTGGAGATGCCAGGTGACATTTGGATATGTTTGGGCTGGATACATAAATTTGGAGACATTAGCATATAGATGGTATTTAAGGCCAAGAGGATGGATGAAATTATCCAAGGAAAGAGTGTAAAGAGAAGACAAGACAGCAATATTTAGAGGGGTGATAACTCCAGAATTACTGAAGAGTACGGGCTCCTGGGCTGCCATCTGGTGACGAGAAGAGGTTTGGGGTTTGTCTATAGTTAGCTGCATTTGCAGAGAAGGTGGCACACTGTACTTGCTTAGATTGCATGTTTATTTGGGGTAGTAAGGGAGAAGGGAGGCTATTATAGGAGGGAGTGTTAAGCCTTCCTCTTAACTCCCCTTTATCACCAGCACTGCAGAAAGGAGAAAAGAGAAAGAGCAGAAAGTGATTTACCCCACAGTGCACCCTAGTATTAAACTACATGTGCATTCTAAATAGCTAGGAAAAATCTAACCCAGTGTTACTTTTCACAAGGACCCAATGTTGGGAACATTATGTCTGGCTTAAGGTTGAACAAAATGAGGCTATCCTGTAACTAATGAGAAAGAGGACTTACTCTCCAGGAACTCCATCTGGCTGTCTTCAGTGGGGATGCACACGGCATCGAAACCTTGGGTGGGTGCTTTGCTGTGCTGGACTCTGTTTAAGGCTAGGGAATGGAGAACACTGGTCTTTCCTGCTCCATCCAGGCCCAACACTAGGATCTGCTTATTTTTCTCCTGTGACACAAAAGATAAATCAATACACCTATGCTATCAGGGCCTTGTTTTCCTGATTCCTGGCAGTGTGGCTGTCTGTAGTAGGACCCAATAATATTTGTGGAATTGTAAGTCAGAATAAAACTTCACAAAACATTTAATAGGTGTAGAACAAACTGTACCAATCAGTTTGTATTTTATAATCAGCCTTTAGTTGTGTGATATTAATTGTACATCCCCTCCCCATCCCCAACTCCTGGTCAATCTATCAAATAAATACTTTATATATTCCAGGGGTGCCCAAAAAATGTATACACGACTTGTATTTTTTTATTATCGGGATATAGTATTACAATGTTAATACAGTTTTTTTTTCTTTTCTTAAAATGTGCATACATTTTTTTTGGCACCCTCTGTATATAGATCAGGATTTATGGGAGCTGCCGTAGATCACAGGGCCAATTTTCAGACTTCACTTTTCTTCTTGAGTTCATGTCCATTGGGGATTTCACCAGAACTCAGTTTGTTGTTTGGGGTATTGGGACCTCCATGGTCCATGTATTGACTCCGCCACTCATCATGTAAGCATCTAAGATCTCATATTATTAATCCGTCTTGTCTTTCCAATTGGCTCACTAGATTAAAAGCTCTTAAGGCAAAGTTCCCCTCTTATACTTCTATTTTTTTTAAAGATTTTTATTGGGGAATTGGGGGAAGGGGAACAGACAAGTTGTTGTCCTTTTGTTCTTCAGTCTAATTGTGGAGGACGTTGCTTCACTGGCCCAAGTTGGCACCATCATTGCACTCTTCCCAGGCGAGGCTGATTAGTCGCCGGCTTCTGGACGGCCGCTCACTACGGCTGCTGGCCGCTCACGCTGGCTGCCGGCCACACATGGTAGCCCATGGCAAACCCACTGCCACAGGGGCTGCAGCCTACACCGTTGTCAGTGACTCATGGCAGCCCAGCTCCAGTTTGAGCTGTTGTTCAGCATCTTAGCTGTAGAGGGCAGTGTCACAGGCCCTCATATGTGGGATCTGAACCGGGGCCCTCTGGCATCCCAAGCCTGCTTTTAACCAACGCACCACTCGGCTGGCCCTCTTATACTTCTTAATATAAGTATCATGATTAAGTGAAAAGGCAAAGATTATAGAAATTGTGAAACCAATTCCAATCACAAATGAGCATTTATTTTAAAACCTGATGTTAAAACATTTTGAACCAGATGTAAACTTTAAAAAGAAGCATTCCACCAACATACCAGCCTTATACATTTTTATGACAAATGACTGAGGGGCGACAAGGGCAGACAGAAACGGAAAGTTCAGAGTGCTCAGAAAGGTGGCTTTTAGGGTACAAACTTCAATGTAAACAGTTTTTTCATTTTATTTAATTAATTAATTTATTTTTTTAGCTGAGCCATCCTGCCACCTGTTGGCAGCTCAGCGGCAGCTCAGCTCAGGCCGGGCATCGAACCGCTGTTGCTCAGAGCTCACACTCTTGAGCGAGCTCTTAACCAACTGAGCCACTCAGCTGGCCCTAATGTAAACAGTTTTAAATGAGCAACAATACAGTTCACAGGAATTCAATTCTATTTCCCAAACTGCCTACAAAAGAGCTTTCTCATGCACAAAAACACTCGTTGAATGTTTTCAATGGCACTGGTTTAAAAATAACAATAATTATACATTTCTGCTTGAACACTAAATGTTGTCATTGGACTGGATTTCTGGTAAAAAGTGATCATAAACAGCACTAGGATGTTTACCCCACTTTTTTTTTTTTAATGAGATCTATGTGAAAGTGAGGTGTTTAAAGGTCTCGTCTAATAGAGACTTGTGTAGAGGGCATGACTTATGAAGACTGTCTGGTAAATAACAGAATTTGAAAAAGTACGTTTTCTTTTGGAGTGAATTCTTGATGGCTTTTAAATCAAATGATATTTCCAGAGATGTTTTCTATCTCCACCCCCACCTCCTTCCCTATTCCCTCCCATCCAAATCTAAACATTATAATGTCATGAGGGTAAGGAAGAGCGACTTGAGGTACAAAGGAGATCGAATTGGGTGGTTTAAAACTGCATGTTTTAAAGCAATGGTGGCACCGAGAAATGGCTGCAGGGTGTGGATTGTGTCCCCTCATTATCTCCACTGATGGCCCTCCTCACGCTTCTCCAATATTTCATCAATTCCCATTTTAACATCTCTGAAATGAGGATTTTACAGTCCCTGGTATGTCTTATTTTGGTTGGAAGCACTTATTTTTCTTTCTTAATGGTACCTAAAATAACCGCATCTTAGATCCTGTGAAATATTGTGAGTAAAAACAGTCCCTACTCCCTTTCCGGCCACATTGCTGCCCCTAAAAACCACCCTATCTAGAAATTCAGCAGGCACTGACGCTTTCCAATTTGCTTATTTTTTAGTCTAAAATACATGCTTCCTCCTGTTTATAAACGCTTAAGGAAAGCTGGGATTATTGGAAGAGCTGAGACACAAAATGTGATTCTGAACACCACCCACTGTTCCTTGAAAGAGTTATTCCTTTAACTAGGTATGGCTCTAGGTAGTCTGTGTTTTACCAGAGATCAAATCTACATTAATAATTCACATTGTTTAGAGCCAGAAAGCAGCTCTGAGCCCACGAACTCCAGGAGCACAGAGCCCACTAAACTGATCTAACAATGCTTGATTTTTCTTTCTTCCCCCTCCCACCACCCCCACTTTTAAAACTGTGGTAAAATACACACAACATATTATTACCATCTTAACCATTTTTAAGCAAACACCTCAGTGGTAGTAAATACATTCATTATGTTGTGCTACCATCACCACCATCCACCTCTAGAACTCTTTCCATCTTGTAAAAGCGAAACTCTGTACCCATCAGATGCTGACGCCCCGTTTTCCCTTCCCCCAGGCACTGGTAGCTACCATTTGGCTCTCTGTCTCTATGATTTTGACTATTCTAGACACTTCACATCATAAGTATTTGATTTTTTGTAAATACAATGCCTGGTTTCCTAGACCTCTCTGTTAAACCTTTGTTCAGACCATTCTGTCTGAACGCTGGTGGCCTGAAAAAAAAAGAAAAGAAGCAGGACCCATAGTGCTCACAGAAAAGGTCCAGATAGCCCCAAAACACATCCCGCACAAATTTAGGAACCCAGCACCTTCCTACAAAGAATGTACTCAACACGAAGGAGTCGGATAGAGCCTCTGAGCTAGTGCTGAGCGCTCACAGAGATGGGCCGGAGAAGGGCCGTTCTCCACATCCCAGTGAAGGCCAACTAAGGTCTCTTCTTCAACACTAGACCTGAGGAGTGTTGGGATGCAGGGTCCAGGTTAGGGGTGAGCCTGGGCAGGGGGCCAGAGAAGGGGCTAGCGCTGGGTGGTTCAAAGCTCGGCACATCCCCTTCCATCCACAGATAAAAAGCCCCCAAACGAGGCCCAATTCCCTCCCGCGTGGGTTGGGACCTGGGCATAACAGAGCCTGCGCTCCGGCCTGAACACCAGACAATGGCCTTGGGGAGTGGCCCAAGGCACTGGTGGTCTCTTACCGGCAGCTCCAGCAGGTGCTTTGTCAAGACGTTGTTGTCCTTCTCTTTCTTTTCTTCCTTTAACTGTTTCTTCTCTTTCTCTATCTCCCACTCTTTCCTCATTTCCTCTTTACTCTTACTTTTCTCCTTTTTCCCTTTCTCTTTCCCCTTCTCCTTCTCTTTTGCAATTTTCTCTTTCTCTTTTTCCCGAATTTTCTCTGGCTCCTTCCCCTTCTCTTTCTTCTTCACTTTCTCCCTTTCCATGTTTACCGCTGGTTTCCTTCCCTTCGCCGGCGCGCCCGCGCGCTGGAGCGGCCGCCCCGAGTCCAGGCAGGTGTGTCCTCCGCGGGAGGTGCGGGGCGCAGGGCTGAGACGTAAATCCACGTGGCATAGGTCACACAAGCCGGCACCGCGCCGCTGCTCGTCTCAGGGCGCGCCAGCCGCCGCCGGGCATCTCGCCCTTGGGGGGGCGGGGGGAGCTGCACGCTACGTATTCTGCGTATTCGTCTAACCTTCAGGCGGGAGGCGGACTGGAGAGGGGAAAGCGGGGGCGCTAAAGGAAAGGTCGAGCCCGCCAAAGGTATCCGGAAGGCCTGACTGCGGGATTTGGGAAAGAACTGAGGGGCCGATTGTCCGTGCAGGAAAAATTGTCCCTAGATGCCACTTCCTCGGAAGGGCGCACTATGTATATGGCTCGATTACCTCCGGCTAGGCAGGGTGTCTGAGAAAGGCCTTCCTCGCGGGGGCCAGTCCTGACTCCCCAGAGGACTCCCAGCCTTCCGTCCCCTAGTTAGTAATCACAGGCCTGGCCAGTGAAGTTGGCTCTCGCTGCTTCATCCCCTAGCAACTTAACCATAGTGTCTAGACCCTAGCGGTTCTCAACCAGTGGGTCGCGACCCCTTTGGGGGTCGAAAGACCCTTTCACAGGGGTCGCCTAAAACCATCGGAAAACAAAAAGATACTTACATTACGATTCATAACAGTAGCAAAATTAGTTATAGAGTAGCAACGAAAATAATTTTATGATTGGGGGGTCACAACATGAGGAACTGTATTAAGGGGTCGCGGCATTAGGAAGGTTGAGAACCGCTGATAGGGTTTGTTGTCCAGGATGCTTAGGGAGAAATAGAGGAACATGAATGGTTCCCTTATTTTAAATTCCTGTTATATTTTGCTTTAAAAAAATTCTCTGGAGATTGAATTAGTACTCTATCAGGGTCATGGTTACTAGTAAAGCCAGGTATTCAAAAATAACTAAAAATAGTCAATGAGCAAATGTTTAGCAAACTAGGAAATCCAGGGGTTCAAAGGTTGTATAACATTGCTTAAACTAGTTGAGAAGTATATGGATGATTGTTTTACTTTGTTAAATTGGACCCTAGTATATTTCACAATCTACTAAAATTACCTTACTATAATAAACTGACTTTCATCAGATCTATGTTTCACATAGGTTTGTAAGGAACAATGAATGAATGGCAGGATCCAGAAGGCTTGAGTGATCCAAGCTTTTAAGGTTAGTAATTTCCAAGTAGTCTTCAAAATGCTGTGCTTATCACTTAAAAAAAATTTGCTCTTCAATTTATTTACATATACATATCAACATGGTAAATTTTCAGTGGATTTAAAACCGGGTTCTCTCAATCCCATTAGATTAGTTTTGTGGCTTTGCTGGAAGGGGCAGAAGATAATTTTAGATACTTAGTTTAAAAACATTCTCAGATATGCTAACTAGGAAGTCCTCCATAAAGTGCAAACACCCAAAACACCTTAATCCATACTCACTGCTAGAATATTTTATTTTAAAATGTGCCACAGTGAATGGATGTACCCATATTGGTTTTTTATAAATGTACACACACACACACACACACACACACACACACACACACACAAAGTGTATATGTCATTGGTTAAAGGCCTGTCCAAAAGAAGTAATTACTACAAAGTTAACATAGATGTTTACACTTCATCTGACAATTATTTGAATGGAGGTTTCAGTTGCTTAGTAATGACAGGCAATAACAATGACTAGCCATCATGACTAAATACAAAACTGTAAATTTCATTTTGTGCCCTGGGTCAAAATTTTCAATGATTGATAACTTTCACCAAAATTCTATAGCTAAAAACTAAAAAATAATTATCCTTCACCACAGAAATTTAATGGAATCATAAATAACAAACTCACCAACAATTATTCCTGTAATGGGGTATAATATTCAGAAGATCTGTCACTCTTACCAAAAGACTATTCTGAGAGCTCAAAAAGTATTATGCAATAATAAATCATTCATATATAAGAGGATCTCTTGTTTAGATGCCACCACAGATTCTGATTACGCTAAACAGAAAGGTAGCACATTTCTTACTGTTGTAGAAGAAGAAAGCCTTTAAAACAATTCTTTGAAGAAGTTTCAGTAGATATGTTGAGTCAAACACAGCAGCACTTTATTAACAAGGATGGAGTAATATGATCACAAGGAAATAACTCTTAAGTCTAAATTCAATGCTATCTTGGGTAGCATAAAATGAATATTAACAAGGTTGAACATCCCAGTGTTACAACTGTTCAGTGGGAAAGTGGCTTGTGAGCAAGGAAAGACCAGAACAGCACTAACATCACAGATAATGCCACAGACTGACTATTAATACTCCATCACGTTGGGAAGGGTAATGAATAGTCATACCCCTAAGTAGAAAGAGGAGCTGAGTATTTACTATTGGGCCAAACAGTACTGTTAGTTTTAATACTGCCTGCTATTGAACTCTGGTATTGATTTCCTCTCTACATAGGAAGTCAATGTTCATGCTCTTGATGGGGGCCATTAAATTTGATTGAGAGTCCAAACCCATCTGACCTCACAGCACTGGGTCTAAGAATCAACTTCTTACAACACTGATATGCTTTCCTTGAGTTCTTTAATAGTGCTAAATTGGCATAATGTTATCATAATCTGAAAATGATATGGGGGCACAAAGGAGTCCTAATTTATATATATGTGTATATATACATCCACAAACTTACTTTTAATTACTATACATTCCCATATTCCAGTTTCACATGACAGAGAATTTGTGGTAAAAATTAATCAAGACATTTACTTTAGTTTTCCTGTGGCCACTCATGTAATGAAGTGAAGAACACCAGTGTATTAATAGGTCCCTTTACATTCGCATATTTGGAATGCTCAGATGATTCCACTTTCAGTCTCCTAAGGCCTCCTAAAACATAAAGTGGGACTTGATAGGAACTAGTATTTTCGGACTCTAGTTAAAACAGAAGTAGTTTCTTCTTAGATAACATGCCTTGTTTGTGAAACTGAAAAACAAAAAAAACAAAACCAAAAACCAAAAAAAAACAAAAAAAAAAAAGACAAAAAAAGAAACCCACCAGCACACAAAGGGAAAGGATACAAAAGATATCAAGGTGGGTATTTATTATTACCCACCAATTATTTTGAGTCCTTATCATCTGTGTAAAAGCTAGGTGGTAAAAGTAGGCCAAGTCTGACTAGGCAAGAGTTTGAGGATGATGTTTTCCTGTCTGATGCACAAGAAAATCATTTTGTGAAAATGTGGGGATGAGAAAGGGAGCAGCTATGTGCTTCTTGCTGTGTTACCATTATGTTCCTAGTGTTACTAAGACTAATTTTAAAATAGCCTGCAACAAGAGTTCTAATCACCAGCCACCTTTTCCACCTTTCTTCTTTTTCTGTTGCTGTTTCTTTTTTGTTGCTGGAGCCCCTGCAGGTTTCTGGTGTCTCGGGGGGATGATATTACTTGTAGATGCTGTTGCTGCACTGCCAGGTCTTGGGGAGGTGGGTGGGCTGCTCACAGTTTTACTGGCATCCCTGAAATCATCAGATCAGGAAAGTGTTGGTCATTCATATATTCAACAATAAAAGATTACAAAAACGAACATTCATAGATTTCACTTTTCACCCCTAACAATTTCCCACACACATTCTATTTCTTTTAAAGTGGTTTCTCCAACTCCCTATCCATTTTCCTTTTGAGTAAAATTTTTACTGCTTTATAATTAAAGAATAAGTAATATATGGTACATGCCAATTTATAAAAAGCTTAGAAAATAAAGAAAATTTAAATGACCTATAATCCTACCATGTAGAAATACCCTATTTAGTAACATTCCTAATACTTTTTCCTAGTCATATTATTTATGTCTTTGTTTATCTAGATATTTAGTTAGTTGAATGACTCAGTTTATTTAGTTTCCTTTTGAAGGTACTGGAATCCTAATATTTAAAATATAATCCTACAATCCTAGTATTTACAATGCAATCAAATCAGAAATACTATATTTTCTTTCCTTTACAACAGTATATTGTAAAACATCAAAGATATCTGACTCTACTTCTCATACTTAAAACACATTAAAAATTCTCACTAATGTCCCTGAGTCAATCTCGGAAAGAGCCAACCTATGCTCTGAATGACCTCTATTGGGAAGCAATGACTTACAGTTCAGATGAAGCTCCCACAGTTGCTCCTTGGGTCCCCTTTCCAATCTGATCCTTCTTTTTACCCTTCTTTCTTCCCCGGTAGTAAGAACGTTCACGCATTGGCAGCCATCTTTCTGGATCTGGGGTCACTTTTGGATCATAATTCTTAGGCAGTTTTCCTATGCAACAATTGATGAGGAAATGAGAGATCTGTGATACTGTTTTCAAGATAATTATTTAAATAGTATGTCCAAGCCTGGGATTAAATAACATTAAACTAAAATAAATTTATCTGAGAAAGTTTTATTTATATAATCTAGGAGGGGAAAAGGCCTTATTTTCAAGCATGCCACAATATTCAGAAGCCATAAAGGAAAATATTTCATAGATGTATATAAAAAAATTAAATTTTCATTTGGTAAAAGATACATTTTAAAGAGAAATAATAAAACAAAAACTTGCACAGTCCATCTTGATATCAATAGGTAAATCACACAAAGAAAGATGGGCATAGGTGTAATTAGGGTAAGCCAGGAGAAATAAGTCATTAATCATGTGAAAAGATGCTCAACCTCACTCAATAAAAATGAAAAGGGTAAAAAATTCTATCAAACTAACAAATATTAAAAGCAGTAATAATACTTAGTGTTGGTGAGATAGTGGGGAAACAAACACCAATGGCAGATGTGTTTGTTGGTATAGCCTTTGTAAAGAGCAACTTAATTTGGCAGTACCAGTCAAAATTTATACTTCCAGAAATTTATCCTGCAGAAACCATAAGCCTCAAACTTATGTGTGTAAGAATATTTTCTGTGATAATCTTTAACATAACAAAGTAATTTAAATGTCTATCAATAAATGAATGATTAAATAAATAACAGTATACCCCCAGTATAGCAAGCTATTCAACTGGTTAAAAAGTCATGGACATCTATATTTAATAATCTGGAAAAATGTCTGCACAAATACAATCTAAAATAGAAGATTAAAAAAATTATCCTGATACATTCATATTAGCTTTGTAAAACCTTTTGACTAAGCATGTAAATGTATATGTATGTTCTATATACAAAAAAGTTAATTACCTTTGGGAGAATGAATTGGGGTAGGGAATTTTCCACTCTTTATGCCGTTCTATAATGATAGAAATCTATTATCTTTGTTTTGTTTTTATTTTATTTTACTTTGTTTTTAGAATAAGCATATGTCATTTGTGAGTTTTTAAGAAATGCTCATTTGGAAACCACAAAAAATAGAAAAAAAGTGAAATTGCAGGTTATTGCTACCTATTTATCACCTGTTCCTTTGAAGTATTACTAATACATAAAACAACACAAAACAAGTACTTGAGTTTTTACCAAATTCCAAGTACTGTGACAAAAGTGAAGAATAAGAAAAACCCCCAAAAATAAAAGGAAAAAATAGAAAAAAAAAGTGAATAAGAAGACTTCTAGTTAAAGACAGTGGATTGAATGCAAACATTAGCTTCTGCACTGTCCCAAAACCCCATTAAAATGTCAATACAGTGATCATGAAGTGGTCTCACTAACAAGACATGTGACCATCTGACACCTACAAAATATTTACAACATTATTAATTATATTCCCTGAACTATCTTTCATATCCCTGTAGCAATATTGTAGTTACCTATTTATGCTGTCTATATATATAGTCACGGGATGTGGAGTATATAGTGTGGGAATGAAAGTCAAGGGAATTGTTACAGATATGTGTGATATGGGGGAGGGCGAGTGGGGTGGCGGATTGGGGGAGGGAGTTGTCACTTTGAGGGGTAAAAAGTATAACTATTGCACTGTGTTGTATTGCTGAAACTAATTTAAAAAATGTTTATTTCACAATAAAAAAATGTCAATACACACATTAGAAGGAAGAATAGGAGAAAAGATATTATCAATAAAATTTCGAAAGCTGGAAAACAGATGGAGGCATAGTAATAAACTTAACAGCCTTGGGAAAGCTGAATTCTAAGATGGCAGAGGGCAAAATCAAGAAGCTACCCGATTTGGACCATGGATTTCCCAGACTCAGGATCAGAGAGGTGGCTCCAGGGATAACCTCAGATTAGCTAAAGCCAAGCATACTCATTCTACCCACTCCTGCCACAGGTTAAGACAGCCTAAGCCGATCAGTGCACAGCACTCCCTTGGTAAATGGTTCAGGGCTGGACACTTGACCCATCTTGGCCCAATCAGATTAATGGGAAAGATCCGCCAAATGCACAGAGGCCCTCTTTCTCCTGCTGGATGTAAATGACAAGTATGTGGCCCTATTTCTAACAAAAATCCTAAGACTCTAATGGGATTCAGTTCTGTGTACAGCAAAGCAAAGCAGTACAACTAACTGATCAACCAACCTTGATGCTAACCTTCCTCCACTGTCAGTTTCATAGACAGTAAATTCTTAAGCCAGGTCTGATGGAGTCCTATGGTACTTGTAGCCGAAAGCACCCTAATGCATAAGGGCTTCCACTGCCAGGCATGGTTCTAAGAGCTTTTCATGAAGTATCTTAATCCTGTGAGGTATATATTATATATTCCATTTTTGCAGACGAAAAACTCAACAAGTATGTTAAGTCACAGCGAAAGAGCAATGTTACTAGAGCAACAATTTGAATCAGGCAATCAAACTCCAGACTTGTTTAAAGTAATCAAATTAAATGTTAGCTATAATCAAGACAAAACTCAAATGTTCAAAGATATGAGAGGACAGTGTATTTATGTCTGAAGATTTCTTCTATATAGGGCTAAACTCAAGCTTTTCTTATAGAAAGACATCTAAAGATTAAAAAAAAAAGTTTTACCCTTCTTTTTCTTCTTCTTCTTTTTCAAATCTCCCTGTCTACAAAGAGAAGAAAAATAATTAGCATCAACGTGATAAAATAGAGAGCATCAAGCACGTGTAAAGGAGCAAGCTGAGTACTTTATCATAAAGGTGTTTAGGATTTGAGGCTGGCTCACCAAAGCTAATAAGCTAGTTGAGGTATTTATTCAGGTTAAATTCAATCAAGTTTTATACACTGTAGATTTAGAAGGGGGTTTGGAAAAGAGGGGTGACAACTGTTTTCACAAAACAGATACCATTTACATCGGCACATATTAAGTTTATGTAAAAAGATAAGAAATGTGCACAAGCATGAAAATCTACAGTACTGGGGTAAGTTCCCCTATGTTTGGCAAAACTAAAGACTAGATAATTAAATTCTTTGCCAGAATAACATGTATAGATCTAATATACACAGAACATGTCTCTGTGAGGACATGTGAGGCAAGTAACATTGGTTTTGGCTGTGGGAGGGAAGACGGTAGGCAGAGGCGGGAGTGAGACTTTTTACTCTGCACTTTTTTATTTTTCCAATTTTGAAACTTGTAAGCTTACTAAATTTTTTTTGGTAATAAAATCTTTATTAAATGCACTGACCCTAACCCCAAAGGCACTAAAAAAGTATGAAATAAAAAAAACACTTCAAAAGTGTTAAGTGTTAAGTACTCTGATAGCTACAGTGAAAAGAGGAAGACAGAAAAATTATCTCTGTACACACTCATATGATATGCCTCTATGGGAACCATGAAAGAGTGAACTAAAAAGATGAGAGCAACAATTTCTGTGAAAAATTCATTTACCAGGTCATATGACTGAGAAAGATCAGGGTACCCTAAAAAAAATTCAACATACAGTGTCTCACTTTAGAGCTTTCTCTCTCACCTCGACTATGCAATAGTTTTCTAAACTGTCTCACTATAAATCATACTTCACAGTCATACCTGCGATTTCCCAAAGATTCTCCGTCATTTACTTCTTTGCTTTGCTCACTTTGCCTACCTCATTCTCTTCATTTTCGTCGAGTCAACTCAATTCCTCCTCCATGCAGCCCTCCCTAACCTCCCACTGTCCCCAGGCAGAACTACTCCCTCTGGAGTGCTCCTGTATGCCCAGTACAATCACAGCACATGCAGCCTTGGCTGCAATTACTGCTTACATACATCTCCTTCTGCTAGACGTAAGTTTCTCTGGGGGCAAGAACCATGATTTATATTTTGTCAACAACATAGAATATCTTCAAAAGAAACGAAACCCTTGTATCTAAAAGCTAGCATAAAATAAATTAATAATACCTAATAAAAATATTCTGAAATTTAAAAGCTTAAAAGTCACTGTATACGTCAGTAATTGTCTCGGGGAAAAGAGAAAGATTACAGGATTAGAAACAAATTGTATGTTCTTACTAATTACCCAATCCTGTTTTGGGAGAGGGAATAAATACTGAAAATACTTAAATAGGCATTATTTGAAAATCCCCTTAAGATTTGGCTTGAATTTATTTCATTTTGGGCTTCTTTATAAGGCTTGAAATCAGAATCAGATGATGAAATGCAATTTTGGACACTGTATCTCTGAGGTCCCAACTCTTTTTAAGTTTTTAAAAATCTATTATGAGGGTGATAATGCTTTTTCTACCAAACAGTGTTCATAATGAAGTCAATCATATGCTTGTTGCTGAACTGTTTTAATGTTAGAAAAATTTTTAGATTTCAAAAAGCATTCAAAAAAGGAGATAACAGTGAAAAACTAAGAAAGCCACAAAACTGAGTGTTGTATTTCTTCCATTCTCTATTCATCTTGAGTCAAAAACAGAATCTTAAACATTTTACCATAGGCTTCTGCTAATTGTTGTGAGATGGCAATGTAGGAGAACAAGGAAAGAATCAGAATTTGACTTCTTGTAAGTTAATGAAGCTGGCTAACCTTTCCTCCAAATCAGCAAAATTACTAAATGATGGACTAAATGTGCACCAATAACTTACAGGTTAATGAAGTAGGGCACATGCAGCTTATGGAATACTAAGCATAAAAAGAATGAAGTATGTCTACATTTAGAATATGGAAAAATCTCCAAGACTTATTACATGAAAGAGAACAAGCCTGAAATCCTAAGTACAATATAATCCCACTTCTGTGAAAAACAAAAACTAATCCAATCTAAGGAAAACATTTCTAAATCACCTGTGTGTGTAAACACACAAAAAAAAGATATGGAAGGGTACATACTAAATTAATACCAGAAGTTAACTGTGGGCCAGGGAGGAGGGAGGAAGCAAGGACTACGAGCTGGGCACAGCAAAAAAGCAGGGAAAGGAAAGAACAGGGACTTAAACTTTATCCACATGGAATTTTTACAAGAATGTATTTTTTATTCCTTATATAATCTGAACTCAGCATCAGTGAATGTTACAATGACAAACATTACCCTTGCTCCTTCGGTTGACTGTCTCCAGCAACTTTTCCGCCCTTCTTCCGAATGTACGTAGCACCGGGGGAGTTTTCAAGAGCCTCCACATCGACTTTCAGAGACATGCTGTCTGACGAAGGCAAGTGTTTACTAAGACTGGGACAGGGCAGGAGCTCAGGAACGCAACACACATATGAACATGCCTCCCAACATGCCTATGCCGATAGAAGAACATGGGCTTTTTTTTTATACCCTTTGTCAAAAGCAAAGAAAGTTGTTCATCAATCTTTATAAAACATCAACTTGCTCACTGCAAAGGTGGGTGACCCCACCTTAGTTTTGGGAACACACCCATATTGGAGTAGCACACGTAATCCAAACTCAGCCAATCAGGGCACCAAACACTCTTAATTGTTTGAGATGGGCATGTGACCTATGACAGTTCAATCAGAATGACATTTCAGAATCATATACAATTACCCAAATTAAATATGCTTTTTTTTTTTCTTTCTTTTTGCCGCTGGAGAGATATAAGTTGTATCTTGTTTACTTCATTTTTGCTTGTGGCTCAAGCTGTATCCCAAGTTGGATCTATCACTGTATTTTTCAGTCTCATTGATCAATAAAGTCTCATCTTCGCTTTTACTAGTTAGAAGCAGGTTTTGTTTGTTGAAATTTACAACAACAACAAAAGTCCCGGTCAAACAGGTACTGGGGATCTAGTCCGCTAATTGGGAGCCATCTGCAACAATCAAAAGGATACGCTTTTGCCTTCTCAGGATCTACAAGTGAGTAAGCAGAAATAAGCTGTGCCAGGGTGTGAATATCTTTTGGATTTTGTCTAAAAGAAGAAATAAGAAAGTTATTAAACAGTGTATAAAACTGAAGAAAATAACAAACAAGCAAAATAATGCCCTTGGATCAAATAACAGCAATAAAATTTGGATTTCTACATCTCCACCTTTCAGAGCTTACTTCCATAGCTGTTCTAGGTCACTAATTGCCTCCTTCTTCCGCCCATATTTGAGTTTGAAGTTGGCCGCTTCTCTTATCAAAGACAAATGAGCAGGAGATTTGGGCTACAGTTTCAATAAAAAGAAAAAAAAAGGTTTTAAGCTAAATAGCTAGCAAGCCAATGAAGTTATATTCATTAGACCTTTCAAATGAACCTATCCGTTATATTCTTCATCTTAAGTTTTAAAGAATGCACAAAACAAAAAAAACAAATTCGCACACATAGAGAGCAGGGTAGACAAATTAGTACAAGTGATGACCAATTTATAAATTTGGAACACAACCCATCTCTATTTAGACTGTCCACAACCAGAAATAATCCCCATAATCAAATCTGAAATATATGTCACCATAGTTCTCAAATATTAACATAAGATTTCCCAGAACACTGCTCTCTCTCCACTGCTAATAGTGCTAACAGCTAACAGTATAAATGCCACCTGTGTGTATGTAAAGTTGGATACTGCCTATGTAGAGACCCATACTGGAAAAAATGAATGTTTTCCTATTAGATGGAGACACTGATATCCAAATATTCCATGCACTGCTGATCCCTGAACAACATGGGCGTTAGGGGCGACATGTTGCCCCACACAGTTGAAAATCTGCATATAACTTCTGACTCTCCAAAAACTTGAGAGCATACTGTTGACCAGAAGAAGCCTTACCCATAACATAAACAGACGATTAACACATATTTTGATGTTACATGTATCACATACTGTATTCTTACAATAAAGGAAGCTAGAGAAAAGAAAATGTTATTAAGACAATCATAAGGAAGAGAAACAAAATCCCCATATAAGTGGACCTGCGCAGTTCAAACCCATGTTGTTCAACGGTCAACTGTACTACTGTTCTACCAAATACTACCATTCATGGGCACTCTAGCCACTAAAGATGAGTTCTCTTATATGCAATCGTGTACTATTAATACTCTTATTTGTTGAGATTGCACACACAAATACAGGTACACACACAAAGGGAGGAGGTTCAGAAAACATAACTAAGTAATTTTTTTCATTCTGCAGGCATACCTTACTTGTAATAATTTTATTTGGATCTGGTATACTTGAAAAATTGAATATGACAGTCTAATAGCATTCCATCTTTTAAATAGTGAGTTGGAATGTTTCAATTCTCCTAAATTTTGAGTTCACTAGTTCAGTTTTTCATTTTTATGTAAAAACATGCCCTTATAACATTTTACTCCCTTTATTTACCTGATGGTTTTGATACCACTGGATAGCTTGTGTGAAGACCTCAATGGCACTATCGATATCTTCCTCATGACTATACATGGTCACTAATGCAGATACCTACCCAGGAAAAGGTATAAATTAGTGAATAAAATTCCTCCTCTCCCATAATAAGCTTTTTGAAAATGAAAAACATTGAAGCAATAGGAAATAAAAGGTTGCTAGGCCCTCCACCAGTACCTAATTCATCATAAAAATTGATATTATAGAGCATAATAACTAGAAATACCATGAACAGTTTTCCAAATACAAAGTTAGTTATCTATAAAATATACCTTTCCTCTACAGCAGTGCCTGTTCACAAATGGTTATCAGTCCACAACAAGCTAAGTACAGAAGTTGAGAATAAGCACTTAGAAAATTAGTTTATGTAATCAGACACTGCTGGGACATCCAAGTGCATGACCAGTGAGGTACACGCACTAGTGACTCCCACGAGTCACATGTAGCCTAAGCTACATACAGAGAGTGAAAAGCTTGCATACTGTGTTCGAGGGACAACAAGGAGGCCCATGTGGCTGGGGTGGAGTGAGTGGGGAAAGAACAATAGGAGATGGGGACAGAAAAGAAACAGCAATAAGAGCTGGATTTTTGAGAAAAATCAGTACAATCGATAAACCTCTGGCCAGACTGATCAGAAAAAAAAAAGAGAAGACATGAATAAACAATATCAGAAACAAAAAGTTCTACAGAGATTAACAGGATAAATACGGAATATATGAACACCTTTTATGCCAATAAATCCAACAACTTAAGTGAAATGAACAAATTTCTTGAAAGGTAACAGAAAGCCAGACATTAAATATTAGAAACATTTTCAGCCATCTATTATTTGATTCTAACACAAAGTAATCACAGGCCAGTCTTTAAAATATGAGTCTTTGAAAGAGAAAGCACTACCATAATACTATCATACACTTATTGAGTGTAAACTGTAAACAAGTTGTGTTACAGAATGCAGACATGAATAAAACAGTCCTTGTTCAATAAATGCACATACCACCACTACAGAATTAGTCTTGACTCTGAAATAGATGCTTTTACAGCTGTATTAGTGATCTACACTTGTGATGCTTGAATAACCAGAGAAATAAAAACTAAATTTGCTGGCCACTATTACTAAATTATTTTAACTCGAAATCACCTTAAGGACATGATAAAATAATTTAGGCTAAGAAATTCCCTTCATGGGTCTTAGGTTATTTAAATTGGCTATCAGAGGTAATGTAAGGCCTAAACAGTGCCTGGCACATCTGATTAAATATTAAATCAATTCAAAGCAGAGCATAAAAAGAAATTAAATTTATACCAGAAAGTAACTGTTGTTATTTTAGCCATTATTCCTACATTACGAATATATAAAGAAATACGCAGAAATTAGAGTGACTACAAAAAAAACATTAAACATACCACTGGACTATTAATTCCATTACTTTTTCAGTCTTACAATTTATATTTTAGTTATAAACTCACCATGCCTGGTTTATGCTTTAACTCCTCTATGCTTCTCAATATCAGACATGCTTTAGAAATATTACCTTAAGAGATTAAAAACAAAATCAACATCACAATGAAGAAAGCATATTAAGGAAAAAAAAAAAAAAGAAGAAATTTATGAGTTATACAACATCTCTAAATACTCAAGCTTTGGGATATTGGGTAAAATGTACTCCATTTATTCATTTTACAGATAAGAAACTTGAGTCCTAAAGAAACAAAACACCTTGCTTATGCCCACAAAGAAAGTTAATGGCAGATGACCAGAAAAATCATCTCCCAGTGTGCTGAACTCTAGTTCTCCTTTTGCAGACTGTAACTTAGAGGTGGGAGTCCTTCCCTGAAAGCCCTGAAATATGTTACTGTAGATATGAGTGCAATGGACAATTTCCTACAGTGTTAAAATTCTGCTTTTCCCTCACTGCAAAGCTCAATAACAAAATCTTTCAAAACAAACAAAAACCATGACAGGCTCCCTCTAATTTTAGTATAATAATCCTTGCAAAAATAAACTGAAAATAGAACTGTCACGATGGAAACATCCTGCATCTATACTGTCCAATTAGCCACATGTGGCTATGAAGCTTCTGAAATACGGCTAACACAACTGTGGAATGAGATTTTAAATTTCATTTAATTTTGATTTAAACTTAAAATAGCTACTATGAGGATAGTGGCTACCAAATATGGATATAACACAGCTCTAGATAATCATTCAAGAGTGGTTCAAAATCATGGACAAAAATACTAGCCGTTTGCTATAAGATTAAAAAATGTCAGTTCTCATTAGATTCCCTTGTCTCTCTTCCCCAAAGATAAGGGTTGTAAAGTATAAATAAAAGATAAAGGGGCTAAGAAATTCTGAAAATTAGGATGCAAAGTAACCTTTATTTTATGCAAATACTACCAAGTGACAGATATAAGCATTTCTACACATGACATACCCAGAAAATTTAAGTATGGTCTTTTGGAACAGAGGAATCCTTTGCTTCTGTAGACTTTCAAGGTATAGACTGGGAATCATTCTATTAGGAATAACCCAAGAAAAGGCCATCTAACACACTACTAGATTGGCGCTCATACCATCTAGCTTGATGTTTAAAACAGCAATAATTACATAATGGGGAATTATGCAAAAATTTAAAAATCATAGTCTACAACTACTTCAGAATCATTCTAACCATATGTTTCTACTAAAATGACATTTTAATCATGATGAAATTATACCTTGGGAAATTTTCAGCTGTGCCATGGTCAGCTTAATTTCAGCTGCATTTTCTGGATGCTGATCTGAAAATTCCTAAAATTTTTTTAATTGGGGAAAAATAAAATCACGTTTTATTTACACAACTAACTGAACACATTCCAATGACTTGTCATAGCTACATAAAAATTTAAATCAGTTTTAAAATATTAAATTTCTGGTTAGGGTCAAAATTTTACTTTGAAAATATTTTATCCAACCTCCACTGTGCTTTAAAATTATGCTCTGAAAGTAAGTGCAATAATGTCGTTTCCAGAAAATTAAGATTACTACATAAAAGTTTTCTTTTAAAAAAGAAAGATACTCAAATAAATGATGCTTCCTTACTGAGTAACTCTACCCCTCGGGATGGATGGTCCCAATTTTACTCTTTTCAACTTTCCAATGTGGTCTACACTCAGGCAATTCAAACATAATCTACCAGCTGATTTACGTTGATAAAAACCAAGTTAGTATGTCCGTAATTATTTGAGGTTTTGGATTGGGACTAACTGAATATGTTATTAAAAAAGAGGCTAAGCATGCTCTAGTATTTTAAGCCTAAAACAAACCCTTAACTCACAATAAATGATCTCCAAATGAAAAGCATCCTTCAGGGTTTATGGCAAATACAGACTAATACAAATTTATAGAAAACAAAGCTGTAGTCCAGGAATTAACAAAGGTGACACTCTGGAATTTGTCTAGTGGCATATTACCTATGTTTGCCCATGAAATTTATGCTTATACATTATAACATATTGAAAATGAAAAAAAGGCTACCACTGCCTGATACCTCATTAAAAATTCAAGTAATTCCTTTACCTGAAGCAGCTCTATTGCTTTCGTGTGCTGCTTTTCACGGCAGAGCTGGGCAGCTTGGATTAACACAGGCAGGAGATGCTCAGGACTCTGGGACTGTAAACTAGTAGATATTTTTCGGCATTGTTCTGCCTAAAAGACAGTATTTTCCCCCCAACAAAAATAAGCTGGTTAATGAAATTAAAGACTGAATGACCAAAAAGAAAAGAAGGATGAGGGGAGGGGGAAGAAAATCAGCTGAAACAAAATATTGGGCTGTCAGAAAAGTCATGACGCATGTTTGCGACAGATGGCACTAGTTCATTTTTGGAAGTACTCGAGTCATTCCCATATCTGTAATTGCTATGTCATTTGACAGCTGACAGCTCTAGCTTCATTCTAAAAAAAAATTGAGGGATTTGGTTGAGTTTTTTGGAGCTTTTACAACAAATTGAAGATGGAAGACAAAACTGTGCATTTTTGCCATATTTTACTGTTTTACTTCCATAAAGGGAAGAATGCGCGTCAAGAATTGTGAAAAGCTGCATAAAGTTTACGGTGACAATGCTCTACAAGAACATCAGTGCCAATGATGGTTCACAAAATTCCGTGCTGGTGATTTTGATCTCAACAACACTCCTTGGTCAGGGAGGCCCACCAAGGTTGATGATAACAAATTAAAGGCATTGATTGAGTCAAACCCACGTTATATGACACGAGAGACTGCAGCAACATTGAACATCCATCATTCAGGTGTTCACCATCACCTGAAGAAGCTTGGATACGTAAGCAAGCTCGATATTTGGGTTCTGCATGAACTCAATGAAGTTCACTTGACAGTGCATATAAACATCAGCAATATATATGCTCATTAAGCGTGAGGAAAACGATCCTTTTTTGAAGCAACTGATAACTGGTGATGAGACGTGGATTGTTTATAACAATATATTGCACAAATGGTCTTGGTCCCGACGTGATGACTCGCCTCAAATGACATTGAAAGCAGACATTCATCAGAGGAAGGTTATGCGCTCGGTGTGGTGGGATTTTAAAGATGTCGTGTTTTTTGAGCTCCTTCCAAGGAACCAAACAATCAATTCGAATGTGTACTGTCGGCAATCTGAACGAATCCATCATCCAGAAACGTCCAGAGCTTGTTAATTGTAATGGAGTTGTGTTCCATCGCAACAACTCGAGACCACACACAAGTCTGATCACCCGTCAAAAATTATTGGAGCTTGGATGGGATGTGTTGCCACACCCACCATACTCGCCTGAACTTGCACCGTCAGACTTCCACTTGTTTCGCTCTCTTCAAAACTCCTTGCATGGTATAACATTCAATTCAAATGAGGATGTAAATCAGCACCTTGTTCAGTTTTTGCAAATAAAGACAGGTCCTTCTATGAACGAGGAATTATGAAACTCACTGAAAGATGGCAAAAGGTTATCGAACAAAACGGGCAATATATCACTGATTGATCTTTGATATTTATATAAATAAATGACCTTTGAAAAACATAGACAAAATACGTCATGACTTTTCCGACAACCCAATAGTTAAGTAAAGAATGCCTAAGGTGAGAGAAGTGGTTTGTAGTATCTATTTTCAATTTTTTCCTTTAAGAGAAAGAGTTCCATTTACTGAATTTAAGATATGAGTTCTGAAAGCATTTAGAAAAGGATGAGTTCTAAACATTCATTTCGATGCTTAAATTCCAGAGCTTTGTTTAAAAAAAAAATACATGAAGTATGACCTTTGCTTTGAAACAACAAAACGTACAGGTATTTCTTGCTAAAGTATTTAACGACTCAGTTCTAAATAATAAAATGTTATTGTCTTTCACTCTTCCACTGAAAACCCTGTGCTCTAGAAGAGTATGAAATCATAATTTAATTAAAATTAATGCTTGTTAGGGTTAGAATTGACCTCAACATTTATAACTTGATGTGATTATGATTAATCTAATATGGAAGATGGATCTTAAATCTCTAATCATGATCAGCATCTTTGATGATTTTTAATTTAGAGATAAGAAATAAGGTAATGAGAAAATTATATCATTTATAAGTGTGAATAGTGTTTTCTTCCTCTTAAAAGCCACGAGCTGCACAACTTTACAAAGAATTGGGAAAATTACTTGTTTAACCAATAAGAATCTATTACATATGACATTCTGAAGAACATATGGGTTTAAGACAATATATAAACAAACAATATAAATAGATTGGACTGAAACACCCATTATGCCTCATGTGCTACACTCCAAAAGGTTTAGCCAATGGAATCTGAGATGTGTTACTTACCTGGTTTGTATACATAGCAAGCAAAGCTTTGTTAAATTCTATTGCTTGCAGCTGTTTCTTGGAAAGCTTAAACTCTACTCCTTCTGCATTGGTTAATTTCACCTTCTTCTTGGAGTCAAAGACATTTTGGTCCTGACAAAGAAAAGTGTATTCATAATTAACAGCAACCTCAAACTTTACCTCTCTTAACACTCCAGGGCCATATTCCTCTTTCATTTAGTCATTTTATATAAACACAAGACAGCTTGGAATATAACACATCTGCCTGGTTGGGGTGCCTCTGCTTCTAAGATGCATATAAATTTATTTTGGGTTCTTGGTTTTCTTTTATCGTTCCCCTATTAACTGCTTGTTTTGAGCATTTTAAATAAAAGTACACAGGGATAGCACAAATCATACAGTAGAAGTTAGGACTACAAAGATATCTAAATTTGCAATTTCTACAAACTATGCCCTTTAGACTTTAGATGACAAACTCATTCCTCTTTGAAATAGTGTCATTATGTAAGCAAATCATTAAATTCAGAAATATATTTATACCTCTCTTGAACCCATTTTTAGCAAAAAAATACTAATGCAACATAGCTATTGTTTTTCCTATTCTTAAGGCCCTTCTCACCTAGGCAGAAGCATGAAGCTTAATTTCTGAAATTTCTGTGTGGGGCAAGTACAGTGTTATCTTCCTAAAAAAAGTCCTGTTAAGAATTATAGAGAGTCACATACCTTTCAAAGAAGGAAGACAATTAAGTCACATTGCATTCTGAGAAGGACAAACTGAGCATCAGTGTCTACTATGTGCACAGTATCCTAGCTTGGTTAAACGATATATTGGTTTGCAAGTAAGTGATACCATTGTGCTTTTTTAAACCAGGTCTTCTACCAGTTTAAAGACTAAATAAAAGAAGGCAAGGAAGAAATCTAAAATAAATTCTACTTTTTCTGAGTGTGAAGCTCCAAACCAATGTGAAATTATTTTAATGTACAGCAAGAAACTGGCTTTCATACAAATCAGTCCTCAAAGAGGATTTCTAGTTGGTACTACTGTTCGCTATTTTAAGACTAATTCATCATGCATGCCACTACTAGACTTCTCTTAAACTTCGCTATCGTGGCACTTATTCAAATATTTAATTTTGAAGACCTCCCATGCCTTGATATCATTCAATTTAACCTATTTTTTAAAACGTCAGCATGTATCATTTTATCTTCTGTTGTCTCTTTTTCCCTGTACAGGCCATAAATATTTCTTCATGTTTCATGTGCTTTATGCTGCTGCTGTAACCTTCAAACTGTATCCCTCCAAAGGTCAGCTCAAATTTGCCAACCCAGAGAGATCTTATCTTTCAACAGATACTACAGTTATGAAGTATACAGACAAGAAATTTAAACACACAAAATTTTTTTCAAAACTGGAATGAGATTTTAAAACTATGTAATGATTAAGACCATGTTTCATCATTGCCTAGTGCAGGGGTCAGCAAACTTTTGAGATGGAAGAGCTGCCAGGGTCAGCAAACTGTGGCTCGCGAGTGTGTGGCTCTGAAGTAAAATTGAAAATGAAAATAAAACTATCATGGTTTCATTTATAAAATTTTTAAAGGATATTATTCACATAATAGTGATTATGTAAAAATATATTTGTGGTTCTCAATTAATTTTTAAATTGTTGTGAGGGACAGGATTGGCTCTTCCAGGGGTTGGCAAACTTTTGAGACGGAACATACCCAAAGAGACGCATGGGGCTCGCGAGGTGCAGTTTGCTGATCCCTGGCCTAGTGCATCCAGCACTATTTTGAATAAAAAGTCAGAGATAAACATCTGTTGATTGATAAAAGTTCAGTGTATAAGAATGAGATATTTAGTATTTCACATACTCTTCTCCACACAATTATGTATCAGAAAAGAAAGATTTGTCCTCAGTAGCATTTGAAGTTATTCATAAACATAGGCAGGTATATACTGCTAAGATTCAAATGCCAGCATCAATTTTTGGAAACCTAAACCACACAATGGCCTGCAACAACCTATAATTACTACCCTCCTCAACCCACCTCTGGGGACCCTCTGAACTTCTCTATAGGAGGAAAGAGGTACCACAAAGGACTAGAAGGAACAAGCTTTGGAGTCAGAGACTGGAATCTGAATCCAAGTTCTTCCTCTTACTAGCTGTGCCTTATCCAAATTACTTAATTTCTTTTAGCCTCAGATTATACTCCCATAAACTGGAAACAAGTACTGCTACCTAAAAAGGTAATTGTGAGGATAAAATAAGATGGAACTTGAAAAAAATCACATGACATTTCAAAAAAAAAACCCCAGATGTTACTTTTCTTATTTTCTATTGACTTAAGTTTCAAATCTGAACTTGAAATGTTTTGTCATTAAAACAATATTCCAAACGGTGGTTAATTTGACTAGTGCAGTACTATTTGAGATTATCTATAAACATACTTGTAATATTTTACACATGGTTTTGGGGCAGGGGTGCAGAGAAAGAGAGAAACTGCCCTTGACTCCCATCCCCCCAAATAAAAAACATGAGAAAGAAAAAATTATATACAGGAAGCTTGCATTCATATTCACTAGATTAAAAAATCGTGTAAAACATGCACACACTTAAAAGTTTAAAAGTCCACACAATTTATTTCTCTAACAAACAGAGATTCTCCATATTATTATAAACTTGGAAAATGGTTAAGATTTTAAATTCCAGGGTCTGTAATTACAAAAAAGTTGTACTACTTGAATAGACCTTGCAGAATCATCATCCTTATGATTAACACTCTCCACTGTAGTTTTGCAACAAATGGACTTTGTTACGGAAAAAAAGGAACACCTATCCTAGGAAAAAATTGGGGAAATACGCTTGCAGTATAAAATATAAGTGTGGGAAAGCCAAGGATATTTCATACCTTGTTAATGGTAATGATGTTATTTGCAATCACAGCTAGCAATCCCACATCTGTAGGCCTGTGAACAACAATCAACAATCAAAAAGGAACACATCTTTAAACAGAAACCACATCTATAAGAGATACATTATATCTGTAACTCACTTACTTGAGCTTTATGATCTGATTGTAAAGTTGCAAAGCTTCCTCTGTGCGACCCTGAAGCTGCAGAATGTAGGCCATCTGCCCATGAATGATGGCCAGTTCTGCCTGAGGGTCTTCCTCAGTCCCATCCTAAGCAAAAGAGGAAATACTGTTTTTTCTGTAAATTCTCCAAATGAGCCACATATTCACCAAGTGATCCAAACATTCAAGAGACATGTAATCCGAAAGAAGACACAATTTCCAGGAATTTTCCCTTACAGTCAGTTGGTTAAAATTTACAAATTGCAACCAAAGAGGGAAGTTTAAATGGGAATGGCAAAAAGATAGATTCTAGAAGAACATGGCAACAAGCTCAGGAATGTCACTCATTGATTATTATTCTCTAAAACTTAAGAATGAAGAAAAGAAAAGTAAGCAACCAGCATGCAGGTTTAACTTTTTACAATGATACCCTTAAATTCTGGAAACAATTTTCTCATAAGAACTATTTTAAAAATGCTTCACTCTTACTTCTACCATAACTCTAGTCCAAAGATTACAAATTCTAACTAATTTAATTATCACCATACAAAGAACTTCAAAAGCTGAAACTAATTCTATAGTTCAAACAGCAGCTCTCTTAACTGACGCTCCAGATTAATCCATTCCGCCAGAAAGACTGACTGCTGTCCACGTACAATGAATGCTCAAGGCTAGGGGGCTGCTCCTTCACCACGCCTGGCACTCTTGCTCTCACCTGGTGAGTATATGCTGACCACCAGATATGTTTGTTTCCAAGCCCACTATGGCAGTTGGGTTTGATAAGCAAATGATGAAACTTAATTATTATAGTAAGAGAAGAACTATGAGTGTGAAGAGAGACTTCTGAATTCAATGAAAACTATGTTGAATGCTCAGAAATGAAGGTGAGTTCCTAAAGAAAACTACTATCTAATTAGGTGTGAGCCAGAAAACGGTAAGAAATAGCGAAAAAGTTAACATCTATGAGGACTCTAAGGAACCAACTTCACAACTGTCTTTAAGATATTGTTGCACTTAAAAAAAACAAAAAACTGGAAATGAAATCACAAATGCTGGATTATATGTGAATCTAAGAAACATGCATGGAATTCCCATGAATAGACCCATACTCAAAGACCTGAGCCCTACATCTAAAATAGGAGAATGAATAGTTATATGAATTTAAAATAAAATACATAAGGCATATAAAAATTTTTACACTGTAATTTCTCACCCTAAGAGACTTCAACAACTGATCAAGAGGTTTTCTATTCCTATTCAATCACCATCTATTCCAAAAAGTCAAATACTACAGTGAAGCCTCCTACAAATTTATATTAGTCAGAACTGTAAAATTTGAGTTTAACAACAGAATACTTACAGAATCTTCTGATAATGAACGGCGGCAAAGATCTATAGGAAAAAATGGTTTTTAAATTAACATTGCTGGGTAACTCCCATTCCTTTCACCATTCCAAAGAGCAAGAACTAAATTCTTGAACAAAAGATTTCAAGATAATTTTAATAAAAGGCAAATTTGAAATTTATCATTACCATCAACTGTATTAGATAAATATTATCAGTTGCAGATTATTCTAGCTCTTTGCTATTTTTCTTTTTTCTTTTTTTTTTAGCTGAGCCATCCTGCCACCTATTGGCAGCTCAGTGGCTGCTCAGTTTGGGCCAGGACTCGAACTGCTGTTGCTCAGAGGTCAAACTCTTGTGCGAGCTCTTAACCAACTGAACCACTTGGCCGGTCCGTTTGCTATTTTCCTTTCATTCGTAATTTCTTATGTTAAAATTTTTTCAAAGACCATTTAAAAATATAAATGTTGATTGCAAAAAATCAATTATAGAAACATATAAAGACAATAATCCTACCACCCAGAGATGATAACTATTAGCATTTCAATTATTGGTTTTTTAAATGTAAATGTACAGTTGTATTTTAAAATGAAAGAGTACTATTTTGAAATCTCTCTTCCCCCATTTAATATACTATGGACATCTTTTATGTTATAATAAATTTAGATCTCCATTATTATTTTTAATGGCTGTATTGTAATCTATTTGGGGTTATAGTAAAATTTAGCCAATCCTATAATAGAACAAAAACTCATGATGTTTCTAAATTTTTTTCTTATGAACATCTCTTTAATTAGCATTTATACAGATATATATATGAATTTATTTAATTATTTCATAAAAATAAATTTCTAGAAATAAAATTCTTGGATCAAAGGCAATGCAAATTTTAAAACCAACTGCCCACTGCAGTTTGTACTGCTTTTACATTCAAACCTGCAATGTATGAGAATGGCCTTCTCCTAGACCACTGTCAATACTGGGCATGATCAAGAAATTCTAATTATTAAACATATTTTTCTTCTCATAATGCTCTAACCTTTGTTCTTATTTTAACCTTCAACATTTAAGAGTAAAACAAACCCTGTTTCACCGTTTTTCCCTCCCCACTGTTCACTGCAGTCCCTAACACTACTTTTATAGCTTCCAGGGAAACTATATGCAGAAGAAAAGTCTAAATGCTTCAGGAGTTAAGACCAGACATAATTCTCTAATAAATTTCTTTTTTTCTTAATTAACAGCTTCAACTCATGTAAATACTACATATATAGAAACATGCTAAATGGAGTGAAAATGCATTTAAATAGTGTTATCAATATGTAAAAGTAGTGTGTGTGTGCATACATGCACATATAGGTACACCATATTATTACTATTCTTGAATACCTGTTTAATAACAATGATAACTAATATTTACTGAATGCTTCTATGATATGCCATGTACTAATGTAAGTGCTTGACATTAATTAACTCAATTTACATCTAACACTCATAGTGACTTGTTCAAAAAACTACTTCTCAGAACTCTGCTGTGGTTGAAAATGAACAAGTAGTCTGGCTTATGGATTAGACAGAAGTAGAAGAGACATATTGTCAAAAACCCAAGAGAAAGGCCAGATGAACTATGAAAAATTCCCAGTGAATCAATAATTTCCCTTTAAAAAAAATCAAAGAAGTCAAATGCAGTTTCTGGAAATACTATGCAAAGTTATATGCACATTATAATTACACATAATTTTAATAAATATCCAACCTTCAGCTTTTTGTAGGATTTTCATTGCCTGATTCAGCTGGCCTTGTCCTATCAGTGCACAAGCAGTGTTGTAGCACAATTCATGTGTGCCTTCTTGGAGGCCCAAGTTCTCCTGTCATGGAACAAAACACCAGTCAAACACCAGAAAGGAATATCATTTCATGGCTGCGTGGGTACACAGGGATACTCACTGGAACCACTTTTTCCCAGTTGCTTTGAGCTGCAACAACTGCTGAAAGGTTTGTTTTTCTCTCCTCATCGTAATCATCTTGGGAGTTTCGGACGAGATCTCTATACACAGCTAAGCATTCATCATAGCGTTCTAACCGGTATAACTGAACAGAAAAACGGCAAGTAACAAATCAGAAGACAAATATAATGTTATGTCTGTAACACTACACAAATTCTTTTTGGAACCACTAAGTAGAAAACCTAATTTGGCATAACCTGGGCAATCAATCATTTTTCATTTAGTTCTGTGTGCTACTAATACTTTCAAAAAGTTACTTGCAGTCAATCTCTACTATATTGCAGATTTGTAGGCATTGTTCAGTTAGAAAAGTCCTTGTATTTACTTCTTGAGGTTAGGTAAGTGCCTAAATGGGGTGCAAAAGAAAACCATTCTGTACAGAAATCACCCTGTTACCTAAATGTGACTTACAATGAAAAAATTTTCCACAACACGATTTCTAAGCTCCAGTAAACAGGAACAAAATTAGGTATTAACAAAAAGACTTAATATTTCCAGAAATTCACTATATTTAATCTTCATTTTCTCTTTCCCAGAAACCATCTATCATATAGGGTAATATGAAGTACACACAAGATAATTCTTATTTCGTTCAAGTTGTACTAAAGCGTCGTCATTGTGCGTCAATCAGTCCACCGTGTGTAACAGAGACTGGTGCCCTTCGTCAATCTCAAAATGCTAGAATTTATCCTAAATTTATAATCCATGAACTTGCCCAAATTTCCCCTCAACCCATTTACACTGTTATACTCGTACTACATCCTGGGAACAATACAATCAATATAATGTTATTTGCCTTAAACTGACATTTTAAATATCTTTAAAGAGGGTTTTGCTAGTTCTAACATAATATTTCTGTACTTTTTACAGTAGGCTTAATTATATGTCTCGAAACACTTTCAGAATAAGGCATTTTCAAGGATTTCATGAACTAGCTGAATTCATCCAAACTATCATCATGATTTTATTTTAAACTTAGAAAAGTTAAAAGCTAGGAAAAAAAATACAATTTCAAAACTGTAAATATATAAGCTCCCTAACAACTAAAAAGTCCAAATTTCATTAGGATAGTTCATAATTTAATTTTTTTAATTACCCTGAGGAAGTCATTTGTTCATACAACATTATATATGCAACCGTTTGTATGATGATCGATACGTTCCAACCTCAAGAACTGGTTAAGGGCCGGCCGAGTGGTGCGATGGTTAAGAACTGGCTTGGGACGCCAGAGGGCCCCGGTTCGGATCCCATATATGAGGGCCAGTGACACTGCCCTCCACAGCTAAGATGCTGAACAACAGCTCAACCTGGAGCTGGGCTGCC